CGGTGGACAGAAGCAGAGAATACAGATTGCTCGTGCTCTTTACCAAGATGCTGATGTTTACCTGTTTGATGATCCGTTCAGTGCTGTGGATGCTCATACCGGATCCCATCTCTTCAATGTAAGTCCTTTCATATATATGCTTTATTTTCATGCTTGATATATTTTACCTAGCCACTTGATTGACCATTCTTTAATTGCAGGAATGTATAATGGGGCTATTGAATTCAAAAACAGTTTTATATGTTACACATCAAGTGGAGTTTTTGCCTGCTGCGGATTTGATCTTGGTACTCTTTCCTTTGAATAATTATTGTTTTCTTAATATTATATATAGACTTAACTCATTTGACTATGATATTTCTCTTCAGGTCATGAAAGATGGAAGGATCAGTGAAGCTGGGAAATACAATGATCTTCTCAAATTAGGTAGTGACTTCATGGAACTTGTGGGTGCTCACCAAGAAGCTTTAACAGCAATTGACACAGTTAAGGGAGAAGCATTGAGAAAGAGTGAGGAAATGACTGGTGATAATACAAATGTACAGAAGGATAAAAATATTTCAGATGGCCAAAATGGTAAAGTGGATGATATTGTTGGAACAAAGGGACAAATTGTTCAGGAGGAGGAAAGAGAGAAAGGTAGTGTTGGTTTTTCAGTTTACTGGAAATATATAACAACTGCATATGGAGGTGCTCTTGTGCCATTTATGCTGTTGGCACAAGTTGGTTTTCAGCTCCTTCAAATTGGAAGCAATTATTGGATGGCGTGGGCAACTCCCGTCTCAAAGAGTGAGCCACCTCCTGTTGGGAGTTCTACTCTCATCATTGTCTATGTTGCTTTAGGAATTGCAAGTGCTTTATGCATCCTTGCTAGAACCATGCTTCTTGTTACCGCTGGATATAAGACAGCCTCTTTGCTTTTCCATAAAATGCATCTTTGCATTTTCCGTGCTCCAATGTCCTTCTTCGATGCCACACCGAGTGGGCGGATTCTAAACAGAGTAAGTGAATGATTACATTTTCTTTATTTACCCCCTTTTTTTTCCTTTTTAGTGTAAATCTTTCTGTTACATGACTAATCAATATTTTGTGAAAATTAACTAGTAATTTCAGAATTAACTCAAATGTACTTTGGTATGAAAACAGGCATCGACAGATCAAAGTGCAGTTGATCTGAATGTTCCCTTTCAAGTTGGATCCTTTGCCTTCACAATAATACAGCTTTTAGGAATTATTGGAGTAATGTCACAAGTTGCATGGCAGGTCTTCATTGTCTTTATTCCGGTCATTGCAGTTTGCATCTGGTTGGAGGTTGCTACGACCACCTTTTTCGTGTTCTTTGCCTTCACAATAATTCTACTATATGCTTTTTCACAAAGTGAGTCATAACTTTAGCGGCATTCATAAACGTGAGTTACATTTAAGTGGTGAGTTTGTTTTCATTGCAGCAATATTACATACCATCAGCACGAGAACTGGCACGGCTAAATGGGACATGCAAAGCTCCAGTAATACAGCACTTTGCCGAGACAATTTCAGGATCAAGCACAATTAGAAGTTTCGATCAGGAATCTAGATTCCAGGACACAAGTATGAAATTGATAGACAATTATTCTCGGCCTAAGTTTCACATCGCTGCTGCAATGGAGTGGCTTTGTATGCGTTTGGATATGTTATCTCTGATCACTTTTGCTTTCTCTTTGATTTTCTTGATCTCTCTCCCTGTTGGAACAATTGACCCAAGTAAGTTCTCTATCTTCATGTTTTCTTTCCTTGAAGTTTGTTGTGTCNTCCTTGACGAGGCTACAGCATCTGTCGACACTGCAACTGATAATCTTATTCAGCAAACTCTAAGGCTGCACTTCTCTGATTCCACGGTTATAACCATTGCTCATAGGATTACATCTGTGCTTGACAGTGATATGGTCCTACTATTAGATCACGGTAAGAATCATCGTTTATGTTCTGGAGCAAGCAGAGAAGGAAATTCTTGGTAGTTACCTTTTTTTTTATGCTATGCTGCAGGGCTCATTGCTGAATACGACACTCCAGCCAGGTTGTTAGAGAACGAATCCTCATTGTTTGCTAAGCTCGTGGCAGAGTATAGTATGAGGTCAAATTCAAGTTTTGAGAATGTTTCAGACATGTGAGTCTCAAACTAATCTTCGTTAATAATGTTACACGACGATGATGATGAAAATTAGGGGACTCTAGACGAGTACCTTAGTCGATAGTGTTGAGTTTCCGTCTGGGGACATCATAGCTTGAACAAGAACCAGCGAAATGCAGGTCATGCCTGTGGCTTGAGGGAAACTGCAACAATCCTATGGCAGGGAAAGAAACCTATATCTAGTGGCATTTGTTTTTGTTTAGACTTTTTGATGAGAAAATGTATACGTAACTTTGTGTTTACAATAATTTGAATGTATGTTGAGTCAAGTGATTAGTTAGTTAAGAGTGCACGGATTTTGCTCCTTCTGGGTAAAAGAAGTAACCTTTTTGTTGAGAGTTGAAAGTGAAATTACTAGTGTCGAATTTTGCCGTATAAGCTAAATGAAACACTTTTACGATAAACTCCTTGTGTAACAAAGGAAAAATTCATTGGGAAGACTAGCTGTTTATGTTTCATGACTCTCATCTATAGTGAACTATAAAAATTTTCCTCTTTTTTTGTACAATAAAGATAAAACAAATAGTAAAAATGGGAAAAGTATTTATGAGTTTAAATTTTATATTTGTTGTTTATCAAGTGAAATAATTAGCACGGCATGGGTCAAATTATAAATATCAGTGACTTAAATTATTCAGTATTTCTTAAAAAAATTATAATAATATTGACCAAGTAAAAGGTACCCTAACCTAAAGAAAAATAAAAATAAAGTTTAAAAATCATAGTGAAAATTAATTTGGCCATCTAGTTTTTTTGGTAACAAATGTAAATATTACCATTGACCTCCAAAACCATTACAAAATAAAGAGCACCTAAGTTCTGAATGCAGACTTTAGGCCTCAATAAAATATAGTAATCCTTTAATTACACTGTATATTCTGAACTAACCTTCTACATTTTTGTGCTTTCTTTGATGGACTTAGCATCTCTACCCTTTCCTTAATCTCCCTTTTTATTAGTCTTATCACCTCAGTACTATGTACATTACTTCACGAAACGGCTTCCAATTCCTAGCTCCCCAAGTGTGATATATCATTGCTGCACATACGGCTGCTACCGATTCCTTCTTAAACACTTTCAAGTGTTTTTTTTTATAGATTACAACATGATCTTTGCATCAGCAACTTGTGTTGTTATCCATATACATTCCAGCACAGCCTGCCATACTGACTTACTCCAATCACACTCCTTGAATAGGTGTGCATTGGTTTCCAACACCTGGGCATTGCATAAATAGTAGCTGGAATCTTCCACCTGAATGTGGAGTTTAAGCATCCTTTCTTTGGTAAGTAATCTTTCTTGGACTACTAGCCACATAATGCATCTGTTCTTTGGCTGAGCCAAGGCTGTCCATACCAGTGTAGCTACCTTAAGCTTGTTGTATTGGCCAATGAGGGCAAGGTAACTTCGAGTGATTGAGTACTCTTCTTTGCTTGTGAGCTTATACTTGCCTTAAATATATTAATCTTGTATTATCTCTTTAAGAGAATTCAATTTCTTCTAGTACCAACTACGGTCTAAGGGAGGTTTATGACTCCATATATTTGGTTCAGACTTCATATATACCCCATGAACCCATTTCAGCGATAGAGACTCCTTGAACATTAACAGGTGCCACATCAATTTCCCCACTGAAGCTATGTTCCAATCCCTGCTTCCTTTAATATTCAGGCCTCCTAATTTCTTTGGGCAACACATTTTTTCCCAAGAAACTAGTGCCACTTTCTTCTTATCTTCAGTCTTTCCCTATAGATATTCTCTATACAATTTGTCTACCTCCTTTAGGACACTTTGAGGCAAAATAAAAACAGACCCCTAGAAATTGTGTATGAGAACAAAACTGCATTAATAATCTGCAGCCTGCCAGCATAAGAGGTATGCTTAGCATATGTAATAGAGATCCTTTGAGTGATCTTGCCAACTAACATTTGGCAGTATATTTTACTCCATTTCTTAGGGAAAATGGCAGCCCTAGATATCTGATAGGAAATGTCTCCAATGAAAAGCCTTTAATGGCTAATAGTCCTCTCTTATGCTCTCCTCCACCCCAACTATAAAAATGTTGGATTTGTCCAGATTAGCAGTCAAACCCGAGACCTTACCAAAGTGGTGCAGAGCTTCAATAACTTTCCTAACTGAACTTACATTACCCTTACAGAATAGCATGAGATCATCAACAAATATAAGGTGAGTAAGCCTCAAGCCTTTGCAAATTGGGTGGAATCTGAAGTCAGGGAGCATCCTGGTTGTCTTTAATGCTCTAGATAAGTATTCCATGACTATAACAGATAGTAAAGGTGATATAGGATCACCTTGCCTCAGGCCCCTCTTTCCTGCAAAGAAACCATGTCCCACGCCATTCACCTTAATAGAGAATCTAGTTGTTGAAACACACACCATGATCCACTAAACAAATATGTCTGGACATCTAAAGCCTATTAAAGCTTCCTCAAGAAAATCCCAACTCACCATATCATAAGCTTTCCTCAAATCAATTTTCATCAAACATCTAGGACTTGTCCTCCTGTTGTAGTGTCTTAAGAGGTCATGTCAAATCAGCACATTGTGCATCATTGATCTCCCTTGCACAAAAGCTAATTGGTTATCAGCTATCAAGTATTTCACAACAACTTTCAACCTATCACAAATCATTTTAGATATACATTTGTAGAGGACAATACAGCAGGAGATTGGTTTGAATTGGCTAGCATATTCTGGCACATCCACCTTAGTTATAAGAGCAATGCTAGTTGTATTAATCTGCTTGGGTAAAGCACTGCCCCAGTTACTTCCTGCCCTACCACTTGCCAAGATGCTTTATAAAACCCACTGCCATGACCATCAGGCCCTGGGCTTTTATTACTACCAATGTAAAACATTACTTCCTTCACATTTTTGTCCCCAAAAGGTTTTATTAGTTCCATATGTTGTTCTGTTGATAGTGTTTTATCATTCTTCAGGATACCTTTCACTGATTTAGTTCTTGTACTTGAACACTTCCCCAATAGATCCTCATAGAAATCTACAAACATGGTTGCAATTATATCAAGGTCTGTTTGCCAATTGCCATCTGCATCCTTCAGTTATATAATAACTTGTTTCATCTTCCTATGTTTAATTACTAAATAGAAGTAACTGGTGTTATCATCACCTAATCTGATCCAGTTGGCTTTACTCTTCTTTTGCAGGTTGTACATGGATAAAATCGGGGTGTCCGATTTTGGGATCACCACGACATCACATGGTCCGCCTTCAGAAGGCCCGAGGCACAGTTCGAGGCTCGACCCCGAGGATTACCTATGCCCGACCTCGGGGCAGTACAGATTGGTGGCTATGATGAACGAGGGGGAGATTCCCAAGGCAAGTGGTTAGAGCTGACCAAGTCCATAAGAATACGTACTAGTCCGTACCGTGGCATTAAATGGTTGTACTAGCCGCATATCTTTGTGATAAATGCACATGTACTATGTTGGGATTCCCCTTCCTATATAAAGAGGACCCTTGCCATTTTTTTGCACAGACAATATTCAATATACAAGAACATTCTCTGCTCTCTAACTTAAACACATTCTGCCTTGATTCTATTGTTTACATTTATTGCCTACATTTATTGTGTTTCATTAACTGTTCTTTATTTATTACTCATTATTGATCATAAAGAGCTCAGATCAAAGCTCTGAGAATTGTTAGTCCTTTATCGGTCGTTCATAGCCTAACCCTTAGCTTGACCTCGAGGCCCCGTATAGGCCAGCTCGAGGACCCCGATTCTCGACCACTCGGTTTGCTTAACTATGACGACCCGACCCGTCGTCTCATGAGTTACCGCACCGTTTTTTCCATTTTCTGTTTCTTCATGCTTTGTTATCCGTATCTTGTGTTATCGAGTTGATTTGGAGTGGTTTTGGTAGGAAATGAGACATTTAGTCTCTTTTAAGAAGGCTTAAGTTGGAAAAATCAACCTGACGTTGACTTATGAGTTAGAGGGCTCGGATGTGAATTCCGATGGTTCGATTAGCTCCGGGAGGTGATTTTTGACTTAGGATTGTGATCGGAAGTGGTTTTGGAGGTTCGGTGTAGAATTTGGCTTGAATTGGCGAAGTTAGTATTTTGGCGATTTCCGATTGATAGACGAGATTTTGATCCGAGAGTCGGAATGGAATTCCGAGAGTTTCTGTAGCTTTATTAGGTAATTTGGGATATGTGTGCAAAATTTCAGGTCATTCGGACGTGGTTTGGTTGGGTTTTGATCGAATCCGTGTTTTGGAAGTTTTAGAAGAACTTAGGCTTGAAGTCGATGTAATTTGATGGTTTTGGTGTTAATTGAGGTGTTTTGATGATTGGAACAAGTTTGGATGATGTTTTAGGATGTGTTGGCACTTTTGGTTGAGGTCCCAGTGGCCTCGGGTGAGTTTCGGGGTGGTTAAAGTGACTATTTCATCTTTGGAAAAGTTGCAGATATTTACTTCAGCTGTGCACCAGAAAATTTCTGGTGCGAGGAGTCCAGTTTGGAAGCTTATATCTTGAAATATATAAGGAATCAGAAAAAGTGTAAAATATTAAAGTTGTATCCCTTACATTCTAGTTTCCAGAAAGTTAAATCATTCATGATTTGGATATTCTATCAGAAAGTTATGATGAATCGAATGTGGCTGGTGGATCAGTTTTGATAGAATTTTCCGATGTACTTTAGAAGTTCATATCTCGGAATATATAAAGAGTTATATGGTGTACATCCTATCAAATGAAAGATCTTCGAGTATAGTTTTTAAATATTCAAACCGTTTGTCATTTGGATATTTTCACAAGGAGTTATAGGCGTTTTAACAGAAGGTGTACAGCAGGGAAAATGGTAAGAGGATGTACAACCTGCACAGCGCAAGGTACACCTCGATGAAGCCTGGGCAGAATGTTTTTAAGTCCTCTTGTCCGCGATTTGGGTCCATTTTTCAGCCATAGTTGATCATTTTGAGAGCTTTTTGAAGGAGATTGAAGAGGGATTCAAGGAGAAACGTTTGGAGGTAAGAATTTCGGACCTAAAACTCATTTATATTGTGAAATCCACCTAGAAAATCATTGAATTCTTGCTAAAAATGGAAGAAATAGGGCTTGGGATTTTGAGATTTTGATTGGGGATTTGGAGGACCATTTGGCGTCGGATTTGAGAACTTTTGGTATGTATGAACTCGTGGGGAGATAAGGAACCCGTTGATGTAAAAATTTCTGAATTTCGAGAAGTGGGCCCGGGGCTCGGGTTTTGCCAATTTCGAGAATTTTGATATTTTTCGATTGTTTTCGATTGGGTATTCTTTCTTTAGCATAATGTGACATGTTCATTGTGATTTTGGTCAGATTTGACGCGCGAGGGGGCCAATTTGAGAGGCAAGGGCATAGTGAGCTAGAGCTTTGGCCAGTTTGAGGTGAGTAATGATTTTAAATGATGTCCTGAGGGTGTGAAACC